GCTCATATGTGAGTCAAGGCAGGTGAGCAAATACTTTTGGCAATATAGTGTATAAAGTAAAAACACACAAAAAAAAAACATTGATTTCAGTTTCAACACATAGAAACCAGGAGCTGTCTCCATCATTAAGCGCTGTGCTCCTGATTACACCTGAAACCCTTTTTTTTTTATGATAGTTTTTAAGTCATATCTTTTCCCAAACAAAGAGACTTTTGAGCTGATTTTCACATTTTACATGAAAACGTGTCCTTGTTTAGAGGAGACATGTCTTTCTGATAAAGCTGACAGCATTTTAAATAGTTATCCTAACACAAGTTGTCTAACATCCAATCATTCAGTTAGTTATAACCAAAATGCTCTTCAGTTCTGTTAAACACATCCAATAGTTCATCAAACAAAAAGTTGTGCACTTCCTTGATGAGCTGTGAAAGCTGCACACGAGTGTTTGAAAGACACCAAAACTACAACCTGTATGAATTACTGCACAATACAAGCAATGAACTGAGCAGTTAAAATCAGTATTACAGGATTTCACTACTAGTCTTTGTTTGCAAAGCAGGTCTACATTTATCTACCAGTTGGAACCTGCTGAAACACAGACGAGCCTCTGATTCGCATTACATAGGTAACCATAGTGGTATAAAAGAAATACCACATGCACAATTGTCCTCACCTTCTTGTGAAAGCTGTGCAAAAAAGAGCTACTGCAGCAGTCGTGAGACGTGAACCAGCCTGTAAGCTGTGTCTGTAACTGTGCTGCTGCCTGTTGCCTCATTAGTTAAACAGAACAGCAGCAGAGGGACTTTAACCCTCTGTGGTGTAGAGGGAAAGCTCACTGGACGGACAGATGGTGAACTTTTTTTTGTCTAAGGAACTAAACATAGAAAAGAAAATCACTTTTAACCTCAAACTGGGTTTTAAGAACACATAATCTGTTTGACCAGTATAAGGGAATATTATGTGATATTTTCTGACTTAAAATTTAGCTTATGCTACATTTTTATATATTAATTCATGCATCCAGACAAACTATAGAAAATGTGTGGATTGAATCTTTGTCTGACAAATACTGCCTCATTATTTAGGTTACCTGGTGCAGGTCAGTGTCTCATCTGGATCTTAAGGATATATTACTGTGTTGGAACAGATGGGAGCTATTTCAACCAAAAATACATAAAGTTATTCTGCAATAGAAAACAAAACAAAAACAAAAAAATAAATTCCCTGACAGATTTCCCTTTATTCTTTCACAGCATAAAATTTTAGCTTCAAAGACAACAATTTGCATTTCTAAATTAACGATTTCATTCAAACCAACCTGGCACTAAGTGAGGAAAGTATTTACCACTAAACTTATTTACCTTGTGTAACAGCTTTGGTTTTTGACAGAAACCAAATGCCTAAGACTGACACTGAGGTGGTTTCTTGCAAGATTTGATAAACCAAAAACGGTAACAAGCAAAAATCCAAAAACATAAATCCACAAGACCCAAAAAATACTGAAAACCAGGAATACTCAGAACAAGTGGGCAACGAAATGATCTTCTTCTTCTTCTTCTATTGAGTTTTCTGGCAGTTTGCATCCTGTGTGCATTACCGCCATCAACTGGACGGAGATGTAATTCAGAAATATAATGTCTGTATATCTTTATATCTTCATGAAACTAAATTCTATCTATACTTACACACACGCACATACACACACTAAATTCTCCCAGCTAATTCTGTATCTTTTAAATATTTAATAAGTGCTTTAATTATCTTATCTGATTGATGCTTCCCTAATAAATCTGCCATCTTTACTGAACTCCCCATTACCCTTTCCAGTTCTTTCCTCTCTTTTGTATATTTGCTACAATAGATCAACACATGTTCTACTCCTTCGATTTCTCCGCAATAACAACAATTACCCGTTGGATGTTTCCCTATTATTTTTAGACCTGCATTTAAACTAGTATGCCCAATCCTTAACCTGTTTATCCATATTTCCTCTCTTCTACTCATTATACTGTTATATCCTATGCTAATATCTTTATGTATTTTATATAAATGTCTTCCTTTTTTTTCTAAATTCCATCTCTTCTGCCATACCTTATTTATTTTATCTTTAATAATTACTTTTATTTCTGTTCTACTTAGCGGGACATCATATTCAATTTCTCCTACTTTAACTGCTTCTTTAGCTAACTTATCTACTTTTTCATTACCTAAGATTCCTTTGTGTGCTGGAACCCATGTGAATTGAATACTTATATTTTGTTGCCTTATACCATACATTAAATAACTGACTTCATCTAAAAGATCTTGACGGCTTTCCGATTTTCCACTTTTAAAACTAGTCAGGCAAGACATTGAATCTGAACAGATAACTACATTTCTAGGCTTCACCTCCAGCACCCATTGCAATGCTAAAATAATTGCCAACATCTCTGCTGAAAAAATTGATAAATTATCTGTTGTTCTTCTCTTGATAGAAATATTTTCTTTTGGAATATATACTGCTACTCCTCTTTTACCATTTTCCTCTTTTGATGCATCTGTATATATTTGTGTCATATTTTCATACCTTACTTCTAAATGCTGCTGAATAATTTGATACAAACCTCCACAAGACTCTTCTATTTTTTTAGTTTCTAAATTTACTATTGGCATTTCGAAAAACCATGGAGCAATTTTAGATGTACTTACAGTTTTACAGTATGTTATATTACTTATCCCAGAATACTCTGCATAAATATTTCCTTCCCATCCAAAACTCCTTATATTATGGCCATATTCCCAACATTCTCTGAATATCTGTTTAGTAGGGTGATTTTCCTCATGCCCTTGTAAATTTAACCAGTAATTTATTGACAGTTTCATCCTCCTTAAGTCCAGTGGCATTTCTCCAGTAATCACTTGAAGAGCAGGAACTGGAGATGTTCGAAAAGCACCACTACATATCCTAAGCGCTTTGGCTTGGATTCTATCTAAATCTAACAACAAAGAATTTGCAGCTGATTTATAAACAATACATCCATAGTCCAACACAGATCGAATTAAAACATCATATATTCTTTTCAAGGATGAGCTAGTTGCCCCCCAGTCATTCCCTGACAAACATTTCAATATATTAATACCTTTTTTACATTTATCAATAATCTTCTGCATATGTATCTTAAATGAAAGTTTTTCATCAAACCATACACCAAGGTACCTTATCATATTTACCTGTTTCAATTCATGCCCATATAATCTAAGATCTACTGTTGGATTATCCCTTTTCCTTGAAAAACATAATACTTGTGTCTTCTCAACAGACAAACGAAACCCCCATTCGTGTGACCATCTTTCTACCGTTTTAATTGCTGATTGCATTCTATTTTTTAAATAACTAAGATTTCCTCCTCTCACCCATAATGCCCCATCATCTGCATATAATGCTTTATTAATTCTAAAATCTATATTATCAAAAATATCATTAATCATTATATTAAAAGGCACTGGACTACATACACTACCTTGTGGAGTTCCATTTTGTATATCATAAATGTTTGAATAATTTACCCCAACTCTTACTTCTATTTTTCTATTCTTTAAAAAATCCTTAATCCAATTAAACATTTTTCCTTTGATTCCCATTTTATTCATCTTAATTAATAAACCCTCCTTCCAAAGCATATCATATGCTTTTTCAATATCAAAAAATGTAGCCAAGAGAATTTCTTTATTTACCTGAGCCTTTCTTATTTCATTTTCTAAACAAGCAATTGGATCTACTGTTGTCCGTCCACTTCTAAAACCACTCTGATAAGGGGATAAAAGATCTCTTTTTTCTATTTCATACATTAATCTCCTAGTTATCATTCTCTCCATCAATTTACATAAATTAGAAGTAAGAGCTATAGGCCTATAACTTTTCAACGAAATGATGACAAACCAGCAAAGAGTGACTGAACAGGAGAATATCTGGGAGAAAGAAAAAAAAAGCCCAGGCTAATTAGCAGATTGGGAGCAGGTGTGGACAGAGGAGTCTAGAAGGGAGTAAGGGGAAAGGAGACTGACACAGGAGAGCAAACAAGAAATATCTGAGAACTCAAATACAATAAAAAAAATAACTACAACACAAAAATGGAAATAAGACCAATGAAAACTTAGACATAAAACTTGAACAGAACCAAAACCATGACAGGTTGCAAGTACTGGCCAAGAGTTTTAAACATTAATTTGTATTTCAACCCATTTCCTTTTCCTTTTGTCTAAATTCTAAATGAAGCATGAAAGGTTCATTTAAAGCAAAGCCATAGAAGCTCACCTGGATTCAGGTCTGGACTTTGACTAGACCACTCCAGAAGCTTCTATCTGTTTCTGCCCGTTGCAGATTATTGTCCTGCTGCATAACCCACTCGCACTTTATCTTTAGACTAGGCAGATATTCTGCTTCAGGTTTTCTGCTAATGGACAGACAGCCTTTATATCTCATTGGTTAACAGTGATCTCAGCCCAGACTTTCTCTATTATAGATAATTTTTCTCATTCTCTTACATGCTGACTTTAAAAACCAGCCTAAACTGAGTTTCCATTGATTTCAGGTTATTTTTCAGTTCTTTCAAATTGTGGATAGCTATCAGTATAACTGAGGTGCACATTCTTAAAGCGCATTAAACAACTCATATAGACATCAGCATGTTTCACCTGTTCTTTCTTGTTTTTTGTTAATAAGAGCAGGAAGTGTTGCTTCTGTTAGTTCTATACAGTTAAGAGTTGGTCTTCATCGAAGCGTCCGGGCCGCTAGAAAGCAGTCAGTATTGGCAGGGAATGAACATGTTTTAAATCTTTAGCCTCAAAGAACTCCAGTCCAGTTTAATCCAAACCATATTGGAGCCTGAATTTGACTGTGGATGTGACTAACAGATTCGATCTTATTAGAATGACCTTTAAAAAGTTGGACTGAATTGGAAATGAGGAAGTAAAAAGAACAATCAATCAACCAATCAATGAAACTCCCCATGAAACAGTTGGATGAGCAGCACCTGTTGCTTTAATGTTCCTTTGAAACATGATATGACAAACAGTTATTCAACATAATCCAATGTAATACTAAAGAGATAAGAAACCCGTCACCGTATTGTAATGGGAGCATATTTATGGTGATTTAGTTATGACCAGGAGCAGAAGTCTACTTTGAACTTTGCAGGGTTTTTAACGAGTTCATGTAATGTTTATACCACAACCACAAAAGGAAGAAGTCGAGGTAAGAATCTTAACCATAGAAAAATGTAAGCACGGTGGTGGCAGCATCATGTTGAGGGTTTTTCTTTCTTTGAACAAAAATGATGGATTGATAAAAAAAGAAAGACCTCCAATTCTTTACTTCAATCTAAAAACAAGATGTTTAATTTTCTTTAAAAGAATTTGAAGTTCTGATCATTAAAACATCCCAAGGACACATCACAACCACGTTTAAAATATCTACAGTGGATAAAATTAGAATCTGGAGTGGCCTAAACTGTAACCTGCTTGAAGGTTTCAAACAGGAACACTATCTTTATCCGGTTTACCCTGACCTCCTGGTTCATTCTCTCTCTTTTCCCACTAACATTGTTCAGGAAGTTGGGCTCTGGCAGCTTTCTGGTTGTGTGGCTTTTTTCCTGCTTTTAATCAGTTAAACTGCTTACAGTACATTTTGCAATACCAGACATTAATTCAGTGCAGGCTGATCTGAGTGTTACATTTCTAAGAAAAAGAGCTGCATAATAAAATCTGAGAGCTACACGGCTGCATGGCTGTCGGATGTAGGCTCCTCCCCGTTAACCTTCCTGACAACAGTTCGCACCAGAGGTTTCAGACCCTGAGTTATTTAGACTGCTTGTGGACGAAGCTTGGACATGACGGTGGGGATGAAGGTTGGATGGTGAACTTGGATGTAGTAGACGGCACTTCCTCCAGCCATGATGGCCAAGCTCCACTTGATCAGGCGGCCTGCCGCTGAGCTTTCACGAGGTCCCAGCTGTGTGACAAAAATAAAACAATGAATGGTTAGATTAAATTACATTTAATCTTTATTCAGTATCAGTTTATCAATTGTTTATTTTTTTTTCTTTATTTAGGCCAACAATCTAAAAATGAGAACATTCTTTAAATTCGTTTTATAAAATAATAGAGATGCACAGATCTGTTTTTTTCAATCCAATCCGAAATGATTAGATACTGTTGAATACATTAACCGTATACCTCACCATGCTATGGAGAGCCATTTCAGCCAAAATTAAATAAATAAATAAATGGGTGAAATAAATAAAAAATGAGTAAAATAAATAAAAAAATGAAGAAAATGAGTGAAATAAAAAATTTGTTAAATAAATAATTTAGCTTTTTCATTAAACCAATTTTTTATTTATTTATTTTTCATATTATCAATTTCTCTTTTTCATTTATCTATTTGTCATTTATCCATTTACCCATTTTTCATTAATCTAATTTTCATTTAACCACTTTTCAATTTCCCTTTTTCATTAAGCCAATTTTTTTTATTTATTTATTTTTCAGATTATCTATTTCTTAATTTCTGTTTTATCTATTTTTCATTTATCTATTTTTCATTTGTCCATTTTTCATTTATCCCTTTATTTATTGACCCATTTTTCATTAATCTATTTTTTTATTTAACCACTGTTCAATTTCCTTTTTCCATTAACCCGATTTTCTCTTTCCCGGTTTCATTAATCAATTTCTCATATATCCTTTTTTTATTTACCAATTTTTCTTTTATCTATTTTTCATTTACCATTTGTTTGAAAAAATTTTAATTTTCCCATTTTCCAATTTCCTTTATTCATTAAGTATTTCCTTATTTTTTTATTTATCACATTCTATTTTCCCCTCTTCGCTTCTGCTTTAATATGATAATGAGGGGCGGTGTCTCCAGGCTACAATGGCAGCCTATTGGTTGGTTAGATGCAGCTGCAGCGCTCAGTTCCTGTTCAGTAGCAGTCGAAGTTGAAGCTGTTTTTTCGAAAGTAAAAGTTAAACAAAACTCAAAGGACCATAAAACACGTCGGATATTAAACTTACAGCGTTCTAGTTCATCTATTCGATCAGCAGCTTACCTAAGAAGAACCGATACTGTGGACTTTCCCTCTGAAAAGCAGTCTAGAAATGGCGAACACAGAGGGTGCAGCACGTTCTGTATCAGTTTTACTCATTTTTTATTTATTTCACCCATTTATTTATTTATTTAATTTTGGCTGAAATGGCTCTCCATACCATGCGAGCAAAGACAGGAACATTGTTTGAGAAAATTAACAAATGAACACAGATTTAAATCATAACTAGCTGGTGTGTGTGCTCTGCATGATGATGTAATCAGGGTTGCAATCATAGAATTAGGCCGATTCCAAACGTCCGCTCTAACCCATCCATTACCACATAGAGCGGGGACTTTATAGTGAATTCAGTTAACTGACCGTTCGGACAGATGATCACTACTTTTCACTCCTCTACGGTCACGTAACTCCACCTCCCCATACAGTGACTGCGCCATCTTTGTTATTTGTTGCTGTCACAACAAATCCCATGATGCTTTGCGAGAAGAGCTCTAACAAAGCAATCTGGGATATATCTGCTCGTACAGTGACCACAGATGATCACTATTTTTCAAGGCGCGTTGTGGGAAATTTCAAGTCCACAAATTTTTCATCCACTAGACATTCGGAAACTCCTTTAAATTGGCGTAATCATTATATAGTGCTCTATATAGTGATTATAGTGCCCTATAGTGATTAGGACGAACGCTCAGACACAGCCTTAGAGTTACTAGATCGCTCTAACTGAATTTCTGTCTATGATATCAATAAAAATATAAATGACCGGACCGGAATGCTGGATAGGCGGCGTTCATCCAATATCCGATCCAGCCAATTATTCAATATCGGTGCTGATATCCGACCCAAGTCTCGGATCAGTGCATCTCTATGAAATCATATAAAAAAACAGGAGGCAGCTAATTCATTAATCTAACATTTCTATAACATATTAAACACGAACGGATGAAAAGCGCATAAAATCGTTTTAAATTGGCTCTAGGCCGCAGGGTATTTTTATGAGGCAAATAGAATAGAAGCCCGGAGCGTCACAGTGGGTGCACCAGTAAAAAAACATTCAGTTGAAGCTTAAAAGACTTTCCAGATCAATCAGAATGTTTTAAAAGCGATAAAACACCACAACATGAGCTACAACTGGCTGCGTCAAACTGTCCGATGGTTGTGTGTCTGATCCACCAGTTGTGACAACAGTGACACTAAACTTGAAATTGCATCATAGAGAAAGTGATAATGGCTCCTAAACTAATATAAAGAAGGTAGTTCTGTTGATTTTCACACTAAATTTTCATTCATTCAGTGTAAAATGTTTAACCTGCAGCAGCAAAAACTGAATAAAAACATCAAAACTCATTTATAAAACTAAACCCAGTCGTTTTTGTTTTTTTTCATTATAGGTTACAATTTAAAAAAAGTTAGGTTTTAATAACAAATCTAAAAATTCTTCCAAGTAGAAATGGGGAAATATACAGGAAGTTTGACAATGGCCATTAAAAGTCTTTTATTTCTGTGTATTTCTAAATGTTAGGAATCCAGTTTGTGTGGGTTGTGTTTTTTGGTGTCTTCTCTCCCTCCACCACCAGATGGTGCCCTGTCCTTGTTGGTCCTCTCACACACCTGCGGCTGGTTGACTTATTACTGAGGACTATTTGAGCGGTGGACTGTCACTACCTCGGCGCCAGAGTGTTTGCCAGTTTTGCCAAGTTTAGCCAAGCTGAGTTTTGCTGAGTCTAACTTGTCTTTGTTTTTTGCTGAGCCTAACCTATTTTTGTCTTTGCCTTTTGGCAGGAAGCCTTCCTGAAAGCTGGATGTTTGGCCTCCCCCTGGAAGGATTGTTTGAGTCTCATACTGAGCAGGGGATTAACCCACACAAGCTCCATTCAAATCCTCCTGGATTCCCAAGTGACAGTCCGCTCAATTGCTCCTCTGGGTCCAACTTAGTCTATACTTGTCCGCCCTCCAACCAGTATCAACCTCTGGAAAAAAAAAACCCACACCGACTGGATTCTGGGAGGAAAGTTTTTCTCCACTAACGTGAGTCCCGTTTTCTCTGTCTATCCAAGTCGTCGTTCAAAGTTCCCACGGATCCTGAACTAACCACTGATACCTCCCTTCCCTCTTCCAGTTCTGGTTCACCAGTTCACTGTTTCCTGAATCCAACCCCGCTGGTTTCATCAATAAACCTGTTCAAACTTTTACCCTGGTTCTCTGAGTGGTTTACTGCATGTGGGTCAGATCCCTTAAGAAAAAATCATGACAGAACATTGGCCAAACCATTGACCCAGCAGAAGCCATTCAGAGAGAACTTCGTCTTCAACAAACTGTAATCCAGAAACATAACAACCATCTCCACGATCTCAGCAGCCAACTGTCAGAGCTAAACAGTCGAGTGGCTCATTTAACTGAGGCTGTACGTTTCTCTCTCCAGGCTTCGGGCCCAGCCGGTGTGCTAGCCCTGCCTCAAGCTAACCAAGCAGCTTTTCCTCCCTCTTTTTCTGAGTGCCTATTGTCCAGTCCTCCCAGGTTTGATGGAAACCCCAAGAAGTGCCGGGGTTTTCTCATGCAGTGTACAATTCAGTTCAACCATGCCCCAAGTAAGTTCCCTTTGGATTCAATTAAGATTTCTTATGTCATATCACATCTTACTGACCGAGCTCTGGATTGGGCCGAGGTCAGATTTTCCTCATCCCCTGTTTATGGCTACACTTTTGAGGAATTCATTACCGAATTCAAGCAAACATTTAACCAGGATCTGGATAAGACACTGAACTCCCGTGAAACGCTGAAAGTTAAACAGGGACAGAGATCCGTATCCAATTTTGCCATTGACTGCTGCATTCTGGCTGCGGCTTCGGGCTGGGATAAAACAGCCCTCATGTGTGTTTACTCTAACGCTCTTAATGACTCCATTAAAGATGAGCTAGCCACCCGCGATGAACCTGAAAATCTGGAGGAGCTAATAAAGCTGTCTATCCGTTTGGACAATCGGATCCGAGCTCGAACCAAGGAAAGAGGTACCAAAGCTACTCCTTCCAAACCTTTTCCTTCAAGTAACCTCTCTATTGAGCTTCTTACTATCACTCCTCCGCCTGAATCCATGCTGTTAGGCAGCATGAGGGTAAGCTTTGAGCAGAAACAACACCGCATGCGGGCTAAGCTCTGTCTTTATTGTGGAGAGGGTGGTCCTTTTGTCTCTTTGTGTCCCCTGTCGGTAAAAGCCAGGGTCCACCAGTAGATAAGAGTGTATTGGCGGACAAGAAAATTTCCCCCTCTTCACCTCGTCTACTTTTGCCCTCTTCTTCTGCTAATCAACAATAAGTCTCTCTCCCTTTCAGCTCTTATTGACTCCGGTTGTGAACAAAATTTATTTGATTCTTCCTCTATTCAGCAGGTGGGTATTGAGATTATACTACTTCAGAACCCTCTTCGAGTTTTTGCTCTGGGCAGTAGAAGCTTGCCCCAGATAACCCACTAGACATGCCCCATTCAGCTGACCATTTCTGGAAATCATACAGAACACATCTCTTTCTACATTTTTCCCAAAGCTAACTCTGCTTTGATTTTAGGATTTGAGTGGCTCCATCTTAATAACCCACTATTAATTGGAGAAACATGCATATTGACTCTTTGGTCAGTAAACTGTCACTCTCGTTGTCTCCGATCTGCCGTTCCTCCCGGCTTCCAACCATCTGAGTCTTGTGAGGCAGACCAACCTTATCTCTCCTCCATTCCTGCTGACTATCTCAACCTATCTGAGGTATTTAGCAAAACTAAAGCCTGTTCTCTGGCTCCCCACTGAACATATGACTGTGCTATTGATCTGCTCCCGGGAGCCCCTCTGCCCAGCAGCCCGACTGTTCAATATCTCCAAGCCAGAAAGGGAAGGAAGGGAATGGAGAAATACATTAAGGAGTCCCTGGCTGCAGGTATTATTCGTCCATCTTCATCTCCTCTCGGTGCTGGATTTTTCTTTGTGGGAAAGAAAGATGGTTCCCTTAGACCAGGCATCCCCAAACTCGGTCCTCGAGGGCCGCTGTCCTGCAGGTTTTAGAGGTTTCCCTGCTTTAGCACAGCTGATTATGATGATTGCAGTAGAGCAAAAGCCTGTTAATCAACTATCAATTAAAATCAGCTGTGCTGGAGCAGAGAAACATCTAAAACCTGCAGGACAGCGGCCCTCGAGGACCGAGTTTGGGGATGCCTGCCTTAGACCCTGTATTGACTACAGAGGTTTAAACCAAATTACAGTCAAGAATAAATATCCTTTGCCCCTTTTTGTCATCTGCTTTTGAGCCTGTTAAAGGAGCCACTGTCTATATCAAACTGGATCTCAGAAATGCCTATCATCTTCTTCGTATTAGGGAGGGAGAAGAATGGACTTCGCCTTCAAAACTTCCATAGCTAATTTCGAATACCTGGTGATGCCTTTTGGTTTAACTAATGCACCTGCTTGTTTCCAGGCCTTGGTTAATGATGTCCTAAAAGATTTTTTGAAAAAAATTTTTTGTGTACATTGACGATAAACTCATTTTTTCCAAGAACCTGTCTGAACACAGGATCCATGTCCGCCAAGTACTGCAGCGCCTTATAGAGAACAAACTTTTCATCAAAGCCGAGAAATGTGAGTTCCATAGGCCTTCAGTCTCCTTCCGGGAATTCATCCTAGAGGGAGGACAGGTAAGACCCACTGAGGAGAAAATTAAAGCGGTCCAGGATTGGCCTACACTACAGAACAGAAAGCAACTTCAGAGATTTCTGGGTTTTGCTCATTTCTATCGTCGATTCATCCGGAACTACAGCCAAACTGCTCTACCCCTCACTTCTGTCACTTCCACTAAGGTCCCTTTCGTTTGGTTCCCTGAGGCTGAGGCAGCCTTTGTTCGTCTCAAGCACCTTTTTGCCAATGCTCCTGTTCTCGACCAGCCTGATCTCACCAAGCAATTTATGGTGGAGGTTGACGCCTCTCAGTCAGGTGTTGGAGCCGTCCTCTCCCAGATCTCTGACAGATAACAAGTTACACCCGTGTGCTTTCTTCTCTCGCAGACTTTCCCCAGCAGAGAGAAACTATGATGTTGGAGACCGAGACCTCTTAGCCATTAAGCTAGCTCTTGAGGAGTCGGAAAAAAAACACTGGCTGGAGGGAGCTGTACACCCTGTTCTGGTATGGACGGACCATAAGAACCTCTCATACATTCAGTCCGCCAAGAGGCTTAACCCACGCCAATCTCGCTGGTCCCTGTTTTTCTCCCGATTTAACCTCCCTATTTCATTTCGTCCTGGCTCTCAGAATGTTAAACCGGATGCTCTCTCTAGGCAGTTTGCCCCAGATGAATCAGAGGAGTCTGCTGCCCCCATCCTGCCTCCTAGCTGCTCTGTAGCCGCAGTCACCTTGGAGATTAAGGACCTTGTCAAGCAGGCCCAACAGTCTGAGCCTGACCCTGGTACCGGACCCCCCAACAGAGTTTTTGTTCCTACTTCCATTCGTGCTCGTGTGATTAACTGGCTCCACACTTCTAAGTTTTCTGCACATCCAGGTATCAGTCGACCTGTGGCTCTTATTAGTCGACATTTTCCTTACTGAAGGATGTAAAGAGGTTTGTTTTGGCTTGCCCGACCTGCGCTCGGAACAAGCCCTCTCATCAGCCCCCTACCGGATTGCTTTAACCCTTGCCCATTCACAAGAGACCCTGGTCCCACATCGCAATAGACTTCATCACTGGACTCCCTACCTCTAAAGGTATGACCTCCATTCTCACAATCATTGACCGTTTCTCCAAGGCCTGCCATCTTGTCTCACTGAGGAAGATCCCTACAGCTTTTCAAACAGCCCAACTCCTGGTCAAGCACGTATTCAGCCTCCATGGGATCCCTCAAGACATACTCTCTGATCGAGGTCCTCAATTCATCTCACAGGTTTGGAAGGGTTTTTCTTCGGCTCTTGGTGCCAAGGTCTCACTCACTTCCGGCTACCATCCCCAGTCTAATGGTCAAGTAGAGCGCATGAACCAGGAGTTGGAGGCCAGCCTCAGATGTCTTTCTGCTTCCAATCCCACTGAGTGGATGTTTCTGCTGCCACAGGACTCTACCCCTTCGAGGCCTCGATTTGCTGCCAGCCTCCCCTTTTTCCAGCTGAGGGGGCTGCCATTGCGGTGCCCTCTATTCAGTATCACATCCACCGTTGCAGAACCATCTGGAACAGAGCCATGACTGCCCTAGGTAGATCCGCTGAACAGAACCATAGATGGGCCAATTGAAATAGGACGGTCACCCCTACATTTTCCCCGGACCCGAAGGTCTGGCTCTCAACCTGGGATATCACATCGAAGGCCATGTCCAAGAAGATGTCCCCACGCTTCATTGGTCCTTATGAGGCGGAGGGGACCATTGGAGCATCCGCTGTCCGTCTCTGTCCCCCCTCCACTCTCCGGATTCACCCCACCTTCCATGTGTCCCAAGTTAAGCCCAGTGTTTCTAACCCCTTGTGCCCGCCCACTGAACCCCCTCCCCCCTTGGACATTGATGCCCATCGCCGTGGGCGTGGGAGGCAATATTTGGTGGAGTGGTGGACCGCTCCTGGGTCCCTGGCTCTTTCATCCTGGACCCCTCCCTCATTAGGGACTTCTGCCTTTCTCAGCACTCCGGCTCTTCTGGACCGCCTGGTGGCGGTCGTTTAGGGGGGGTACTGTTAGGAATCCAGTTTGTGTGGGTTGTGTTTTTGTGTCTTTCTCTCCCTCCACCACCAGGTGGTGCCCTATCCTCATTGGTCCTCTCACACACCTGCGGCTGGTTGACTCATCACTGAGGACTATTTGAGCCACGGACTGTCACTACCTCGGCGCCAGTGTGTTTGCCAGTTTTGGTTACTCTAGCCAAGCTGAGTTTTGCTGAGACTGACTGAGTCTTTGTTTTCACTGAGCCTAACCCTTTTTGTCTTTGCCTTTTCGGCAGGAAGTCACCCTGCAAGCTGGGTGTTTGGCCTTCTTCCCCTGGAAGGATTGTTTGAGTCTCACACTGAGCAGGGGGTGAACCTCCACAAGTTCCATTCAAGTCCCCCAGGACTTCCAAGTGACAGTCCGCTCAATAGCTCCTCAGGGTCCAACCAAGTCTAAACCTGTCAATGAGTCTTTTCCTCTGGATAAACCCACACCAACTGGATTCTTGGAAGAAAGTTTTCTTCACTATCATGAGTTCCATTTTCTCTTTCTCTCCAAGTCATCTTTCTAAGCTCCCATGGATCCTGAACTAACCACAGAAACTTCCCTACCCTCTTCCAGTTCCGGTTCACCAGTACACTGAGTTTCCTGAATCCTACACCCGCTGATCTTATCAATAAACCTGTTAAAACTTTTACCCTGGTTCTCCGAGTGGTTTACTGAATGTGGGTCAGATCCTTTAAGAAAATCATGACACTAAATTCTATTCAGTTTATTTCTATAGAGCCAGTTCACAACACGTCATCTCAAGGCACTTTACAGTTAACCTGATCATTCAGTCAGATTGATTTCTATCCAAAGAAAACCAGTTGATTGCATCTACTCATTGAATCTTCAGCAATCCCTCACACTAAGCATGCTTGTAGCGACAGTGGAGAGGAAAAACTTCCTTTGAATAGGAAGAAACGAAGAAGCGGCCATCTGAGGCCGACTGAGGTTTAAAGAGAACTTTTAAAGGGAAGTTTACCCAAATGTTAGTTAAAGCTGATATTTAAGCTTGAATTTATATTCAGTTGGTTTTGTTCTTATATTTAATAAGTTCTACTGAAGTTTTATTCCAAGCTGAAAAAACTTAAAAGTTAAAAAAAAATCCTCTAAAGACAAAACTATTAGAATTAAATGCGGATGTTTGTAAACTTCAAGGCTCATTCCGACCTGTCTGGTTCTTAGAGGCTGGTACAAGCGATCGAACTGGGTGAAGATGGCCTTGCGGGCCCCGTCCCATTTTCCTGGCCCCATCAGTCGGTACTGGTAAGCAGTGACGGGTCCCCAGAAAACCCGCTTGAACAGCGGGAAGTCGGTGAAGAAGAGCCAGAGGAGACTGGGGCGCACTCCGATATCCTTTGCTAAGTCGTCCATGTACTCAACAAAGTCCACCTGCAGGGGTGTCAGCCTCGACACAACGTAGCTGAGGGGGGGAAAAAATGTGAACTTTAAAACTAAACAAACTAAAAGCTTTGCTCGCAGACATTAAGTTAAAAGAGGTTAAAAGTGATAAACAGTGTTCCTACTTTTTCTCAATATTCTTGGTGTCCTTCTCCACAGCCTTGATCATGGCCTGACAGGACGGAAGCTTCTTATGTCCTGAAGGCCCAAAAACAGAAAGCCGACCTTAAACAACCACTTCTATCTGCTAGAAGAAACACATTTTTAAAACAAAAGATGTACTGCAGCAGTGTCTGTTTGATGGAGCCTCACCTTTGAAGACGCGAGAGACGAAGCGAGCCTGCATCTCAGCTTGTGGCATGATGGCTCCGTCAGAATGGATAAAGCCGACGATAGCCAGGGTGGGATGCTCAAGGACCGGGGGGATAACATGCTTGTAAAGACCCACACGGTGCCCCGACTTGTACATGACGTCATTTGGCAGGTAGGGGAAATCATAGTTGTATCCTGTGGCGAACACAATCAAATCCACCTGGAAGAGGAAAGAAATCTTCAGTTGGGAGGTTTTTCCTTCAGGAGGCAACAGCGTCTGACACATCAGGTTTGTCCTCTAACATTTTCCGCAGTGCTGCCGTCATTAAAGACCACGGTGGACCCACGGATCTCTTTCACGTTTGGCTTGACGAGGACCGACCCAGATAAAATCCTAAAGGGGAGGTCATCGTTGATCACTGGAATCTGGCTGAAGAGCCTTTAGAAACAAGAAGGAGGACATCAGATTTAAAATCCTTGAAATAAAAGCAAACAGGAAGCAGTTAAAGATGTTTTTACATCCACAAAGCTTCTGACATTTACAGAAGCACAATATGTCAGCGTTCTGCCCTCTCTTTAAGTTTCTTTTTATTTGTAGTTGTTTTTTTAGCAGTGTTTTGTTCTTGAGTTACTCTCTGTGGCCCATTTGTGTTTCCTTTCCCCTTCCTTCCTTCTAGCCCAGAGGTCACGGATTTGTGGACCGCGGCCCGGATCCAAACCACCTGCTGGCTAATCCAGACCCAACCTGATTTAAAACATTTTTAAATTACTGCATTTTTAAATTGTGTCTAACTTTACTTGCGCCTCTTCTCCTGTTAATACGGTAAAGCCCTACAGAGCGTCCGGCTCCAGGCTGCACGTGATCCAAATGAGCCAATGAGCTGTCAGTCTGGGTTGCTGCTGCTGCTACTTTTAGACACACAAACTTTCTTGCAAACCTTCCACCCCAACAATCCCGCCCCCTTGATAATCGACCAATCACATTCACTGGGAGAATTCAGAAATGCAGCGGGTGGTACAATCGTTTCGCTACGACTTTAAGGTACTTTTTTGAAGAAAAAAAAATGCTGATTTTAATTGAAAACTGATTAACAGGCTTTTGCTCAACTGCAACCATCATAAAAACTCTAAAACCTGCAGGACAGCGGCCCTCGAGAACCGACTTTGGGGATGCCTGATCTAGCGGATTGACAGCGGCCATTTTCAGACCTTTGTGGAGGTAGAAAAGATTGGCGGATAAGTGTCTCATGATCAATCAAAAAAAAAAAATGAAGCAAATCTCAGCTGAGGGATCCATCACTGCACGCCTAATGAAGAACAATTTAGTTTTGCTAAAGAAAAGATACTGTAAAAGAAAATAAACAATCGGCCTCGCTATATTGAAGAGTCCTACCTGTGTTTGGGTTTGAGGCCATACACTGCATGATCGTACATGGCATTGAGCTTCTTCTCACCCAACCAGTTGAGCAAGCACATTGGCAGCACCTTGAACAAGACATGGACGAAGCGCGTGTTGAACCTGTCGACAGGTAAGCCATCATCAGAAACCTGGCGGATGACCCAGGCACCACTGCGAGTGCTCAGGTACACCTGCAGGACGGATGCAAAGACAACGAGGTTTATAGGGAGTCTGACAATGTGGCAACAGTTGGAAATAATCATCTTCCTAACCTGCTCTGCAACTCTGCTGCTCTCCACAGCAATGTCCCCTCCTGAGTTACCGATGCCGATGACCACCACTCTCTTCCCGTGCATGTCCTCAGGTCCCTTGTAGTCCCAGCTGTGGGAGTATTTCCCTTCAAACGTCTCAATTCCTGGAACATTTTGGAAAAAATAATCAAATGTGTGAAAGATCCTTTTCAAACTGCCAAGTCCCTTTTTTTGGTTTAATTTTGCAAATAACAACCTTTCTTTGCATTATTGCAATCGTCATTGTTACATCCTTTAACTCTGATGTCATCTAAGGGGATTTTATGTCAAAGTACAGTAAAAAACAGAAAAAGCCTTCCAAAAAAATCATTAATTGAAGGAAAGTGACAAATGGTTTACAAAAACTATGACATGCTTTTCCATTAGGTTTCGTTGAGGAGATACTTTGTAGGGCAGGATTGTGCCAGCTCTTTTTGTTTGGTCTAAAATATATTCTAATAATTTTGTGATGTAGCACACCTGCGGCTCATTGGACCATTATCTGGAGGGGTATTTGAGCAGTGGGCTGTCACTACCTTGACGCCAGAGTGTTTGCCAGTTTTGGGTACTCTGGCCAAGCTGAGATTAGCAGAGTCTAACCTAGCGTTGTTTCTCTGAGATTTATGTTCTTTTGTCTTTGTTTCTCCGGCAGGAAGACTTCCTGTTTTACTGGATACCTGGACCTTCTCCCCCTGAAAGGAAATACCGAGTTCATACTGAGCAGGGGAAAACCTCCACATGATCTGTTCAAGTTCCAATCGGAAATCTGAGTGACAGTCCGCTCTATTACTCCTCCGGGTCCAACGCTTGTCTACCTGTCTGTCCTCCAACGTGTGCACTATTCTCTGGATTCCTCCACACAGACTGGATTGAAGGACTGACAAGGCCCCCCTCAAACGTGAGTCCCAATCCAGCATTATCTAACAACATCCAAGATTCCTACAGTCCCTGAACTGACCTCTGAACTTCCTTTCTCACTTCCAGTTCCGGTTCCCCAGCTCAGAGTACCAGATCCAACACCTGTACGCTACCTTAATAAACCTGTTAACCTTTTCTCCATGTTCTCTGGGTGGTTTTTCTGCATGTGGATCAGATTCAGATGACAGAGGGGAAGAATTTAGATCCAATTCTTATATTTTTATGTTTGCTTTTTTAGTTTCTCAGATTATAAGATAAAAATTCGACATTCAATGTCAACTTTGACCCCTTTCTGACTCCATACATGCCTTACTGTGATGATGATATGCAAAGAAGAATTAACTCAAGCCTCTTTCTTAGATGAACCCTCTCCTTGACAGTCAGTCAGTTTGGATCATCAGCGCTCTAACTTCATTTTAAACTCTGTGTTTCTTACTCTATGCTGTTTGTTTTACAAACCTCTGTCCTTCACAGAAGAGCTCCTATAAACATAATTACATTATAAAGAGGCAATAAACAGATATTTTGTTTCTGTGGACATGCTGATTTAACACATATTCATATATTTCTTCTTTTAGATTTTATTTTTGAAAAAAAAAAAAAATTTTTGTTTCTTTCTCACATGTACTGCTTTGTGTTGGTGTTAACCTCTTAACATCCACCTCATTTTGAAATCCTTGCTTTATTTAGCATACCCAAATGGAAAAGCAAATAACTGAGGAACTTTAAGCCCAAATTACATGTGTGATCCGTTATTTGACAGCTAATACCATCTAGTTTCTGAATATATATACATGAAAATTGGGTGAGTATAACACAGCCCAAGCTGCATCAGTTCAAAATTGACTCAAAGTTGTTGTTTTTTATTTTCGAAAATAATCAGTCTTTTTTGAACAGCAGTAATAAAGACATGCTTGCTGTGGCTGCTTTGTCATGTTTACATTTTGACATGTTGCTAGATCTGTGTTAATGGTGCTTTGGTGCCCGCTGTGTCCATAAAATGAACTAGGTGGCTGAATTGTGGAGAACCTAAGCTTTCAAACGATGTCTAACATGTCTATAGTGGTAAACATTTTACCAGTGGAATTTTCATGCATTCTGAGTTATTATTTGTAAATACTTTAATACTAAAACAAAATTATAAACACTTGAATAATGAAGTGTACAGTGCGGCATCCTGTATTTTAGCATGTATGCATTACCTGGGAAGTCTTTGAGAGGCAGGTTAGGGTAGTTGAAATGACCGGAGCAGCAGATAACTGCATCAAACACATGCCTCTCCTCTAATCCGTCTTTGTTCTCCGTCACCACCTCCCACTGACCGGTGCGAGGAGAGTCTGGTCTCTTTGTGACTTTTTTCACTGACGTCTGAGGTATAAAGAACGATCAAGGAAAGGTTACATCATGTATTTAAAGAGGTCATAGAATGCAAATATCGAGTTTCCATTGTCATAGATGAATAACGACAGTTCAGTGGGTGAAATGGACGTACAGAGAAGTTCAAACCCCATCAACACCTCCTTTCTCTGCAAACCTCACAATTCTAAACTCCCACCATAAAACGGGTGAATACAAATGAAGCACAGAGTTGACGTAAACTCGGAGATGTTGCCTTGTTTGGTTCTGGTCTGTACTTTTGCCACGCCCTGAAATCTACATACAGCTTTAGTGGCGACTGGGAAGCTAACTGGATTGAACCGCAGCAGAGAGCCATGAGCCGCCCCTCGTTAGCCGGAGGAGGGGGGGCTGGGGGCCGGTAAGGCAGGCGAGGGGAAGCACGGGGCCGCCTGTGTCAAGGCTACCGTCACTGGGTCGGGTTCGGTCGCTCCGTCACCCGCTGGCTCCCTGCCCCCGTCTAGCTCGGGTTCGCGGAGCCCCGGAGCTGACGGCTCGGTTCTGCTGCACTGTAGTCGACCAAATGAAATTTTCCCTGGACATTTTCTTAGGTATGAATAGTAAGACATGTCTGGGACGTCTGGTCACCCTACAGTATCAACAATTTGATGCTTCAGTGAGTGAGTGCTTGTTGCTATGATGCGTCTTTGCTCAGCAGCTTGGCTCGTTGTAAACCAACCAATCAGAGCACAGCTCATCTAAATATTCATGATCATACCATAAAAGGAAGAAAACCTGTCGTTTCATTCTAGGGCTTTTAACCAGGCTGCATTAGGGCTCGTAGAACAGAAAATATGCCATTTTCAGCCCAACCAATTACCCCATTTACACTACCCTTGAAAAACCGTGCTGAGACCGGTCCGAGCTCAGTAACTGAGATAACTTATCGTGTGTAAATGGAAAGCAAACTGAACTGAACCGAGCTAGACACAACCGAACCGAGCTAACTGCAGACCAGTTCCAGAGGTGGGCTCGGCTCGGTTTTACCCTGGCTCGGTTCTCTGATAACAAGAGCGCATGAGCAGAACGCGTCATCTCCATCTGGCTGCACATCCCGATTCACACTCTATTCCAGTAGTTGGCGGTAATGCCCCTCCAGAAACAGAAGAAGAACAGCTTCTTCTTCAACTATAAACAACAATACAAATCTTCTCCACGCAACATCTTAAATAATGGCATTTCAAATAATAACACCGAACTACAGCAATAATAATCAAGCATAACTTTCTGAATGTGACGGGCGCCGCTATTTTGATTTGCTTGATTCCCTCCTTCTTCGTCTTCTTCTTCTTGTGTTTTATGGCGGTTGGCAAACAACTTTTGGTGCATTACCGCCACCAACTGCTTGATTTCCTCCTTTAATACTGGCAGTAATACCGCAGATCGTCACTAGGAGGCGAGGAGTCGAGGAACCGAGACAGCGTGATGTGTAAACGGTCGTCAGAACCGAGCTCGGCCTGGTTAACTGATCCGACCTCGGACCGGTCTCGGCATGGATTTTCAGTTTTTCAAGGGTAGTGTAAATGGGGTAAATGTTTCACACCCTATTCAGAGACCTTAAAGGAATAGTACACCCAAAACATGATTAGCCTTCCTTTTCTACTCACCCCCATGCTGAACAACACTCTGGAGTACTTTTTTGATATCTCAAATGCATCTGGAGATCTGGGAGGCTTCTTGCTGTCTGCTGACATTCAAATAATGGAGGTCTATGGCGCCCGAGGCAGAAAGGTCCATAAAAGTCCACAAAAAACGTGTCAATATTCCTCCATACTGCTCGTCCAATGTATTCCAAGTGTCCTGAGTGGGTAGCGTCCAGAATTTACTCGAAACGAAGTCATTTAGAATGTTTTTAGAGCATAAACAGTAGTGTATAGGATTTTGGTCTGCCGCGGTTTCCGTAGCGTCATGAACGGGCCGGCGCGCGCTTTCATGATGCTACGGAAACCGCGGCAGACCAAACCAGATGAAAGTGCGCATTCAGCTCGGCAAAGAACTCATGCTCTTCCTCAACACTGAAGTCCTCAGACACAGGTAAACAGCACATTTCTTCTTCTACGCTTGCATTATTGGCAGAGCAGACGCTGAATGCGCACTTTCATCTGGTTTGGTCTGCCGCGGTTTCCGTAGACTCGTGAACGCGCCGGCACGCGCTTTCAGGAAATCCTATACACTACTGTTTATGCTCTAAAAACATTCTAAATGACTTAGTTTCGAGTAAATTCTGGACGCTACCCACTCAGGACACTTGGAATACATTGGACGAGCAGTATGGAGGAATATTGACACGTTTTTTGTGGACTTTTATGGACCTTTCTGTCTCGGGCGCCATAGACCTCCATTATTTGAATGTCAGCAGACAGCAAGAAGCCTCCCAGATCTCTAGATGCATTTGAGATATCAAAAAAGTACTCCAGAGTGTTGTTCAGCATGGGGGTGAGTAGAAAATGAAGGCTAATCATGTTTTGGGTGTACTATTCCTTTAAGGACCAAACGCTCTATAGTATCATTCCATCACCCCTTTAATAAATGGATCAAAATGAGGTCTGCTTCCTGTCCGCTCACCTGGAAGCGGATGTGCTGCAGTAGTTTAAAGTGATCTGCGTACATCCTGAAGTACTTCAGGATTTTAGAGTGGTGCATGTAGTTGGGATAATCAGCAGGGATGGGGAAGTCGCTGTAGCACATCATCTCCTTCCAGATATTGATGGTTAAAGAGCGATAGATGCTAGCCCTGTTTGGCTCAGAGACTTCCTGGGGGGAAAAAAAGAGAATTAAAAGGAAAATATCTGACAGATGAAAATAATCTGCAGTTTTTTTTTTCTACAGCCAAGTCTTGCCTTGAACTTCCAGAGCCCCCCCATGTCATCGCTGCTTTCAAAGCAGGTTGGCTCCATGCCCTCATCCAGACAAGCCTTTATGCTGGTGAGACCAGAGGGGCCGGCCCCGATCACTGCGACTCTCTGCACCATGATGAAGCTGCTGCAGGACAAGAAGAACAAAAGGGAGACATTGAACATAAAGCTTTTCTCCCAAGACCTGGTTTAGATTATAGAGTTATGTTAAAGTAATGACAGCTCCTAGATCCCTTTGAATTCATAATTTTGTTAACATATCAATGACTTTTCTGCAGTTTTAAAGTTGTTATCTAGAAGCTGTTGCAGAATCCTTCAATGCATTCTGCTAAAAAGCTTTAATAAAGTTGAGGGACTGATTTTGGGAGCAGCCTAAAGCAGGACAAATGTTTCCCCCTCTATACTTCAATCATAAAATCCAGCAACACATTAACACATATTTATTATTAGCTTATCTTCCTAATAACCACATGTTTTGCTGGTCTACTTACAGTTTTTTTATGCTGGTGTTTCTCGGGGTAAGGAGCAACAGCCTGAGATCTCAGTTTGTTGGAATGGAGACAAACTTCTAGGAACTACGGGAACCGAGAAGGACCAACGCCCCGCCCGTTACAGATCATTTAGATTTATCTAGATATTCTTAACATGTTATCAGGAGATAAGAACATGATGTGGTGTGGCGGCATCGCGGTGGAGTTAATGATTTATTGTTTTGCTATAATCAGCGCTTATCTTCTGTCTAGCTTAACAGTTACGTTTCAGAAGTTATTCAGGCACTTATTCAGTTAATGCAGGCATCACGTTTATAGACTGCTAAGTATGCTGTATTCAGGTACCGCTCGTAAACGAGACAATCTAAACTAAATAAGGTGAAATTAGACGCATTTATTAGAAAATTTCTTGCTCAGCGGCTTGAAAACAAGACTATATATGACTTAGTGTGCGATGTATTAGTTTTTAGATTAGATTAAAAAAACGTCATTAAGGCTAAAATGAGGATAAGGATGTTAAAAGTTATTGGACACCGCAAAAGTCCAATAAAACGGCTTGATTAAGATAGGAGTCAGAATACGTCACTTATATGTTGTTTAGCTGTATTAAACTGTACTATGAGATCTTTTTGTAATTGCGTATTGTTATCTTTAATCTCGTGATTTGGGAATATTCCACATTTAATTGCGGTCTGAGATCTATTTCTTCGTATCCCTATAGCGCCCTCTGTCGGTTGCTTTTCACTTTTCGCTGTTGTCTTTATTGCACTTCACTGTCCTTCATAATTCAAAATTTTTTTGTGTGTTGAAATGATAAAACCTTAACGTTTAAAGGCTTTTGCTCTACTGTAAAACAGCATCTGGTGTGATTAGAAATGCCAGTTTGTGAAGTTATAACAGGATCATTTTCTTAGTGTTTTCTTAAGTGAAATCACATGATAGTCCCTGCTGGGTTCTCCCCTGGAAAGCAGTAACTCTGACTGAATCCAGAATATGATCTACCAGGTAATCATTCAAAGATAAGTTTGACGATGAGAATCAAAGAAGATGATTAAGCTGAGGCAGCGATTCTTGGCTTCATTTAAACTCTCAGTAATGTGTTTAATTGCAGCCTCAGCCATAAAACAAAGGCTTTGCTTTACATCATTTAAACCTGATGAACTTCTAGGGGCAAATGACCACATCAGATCTGTGCTTTTTAAGACCAGTTAATTAATCTTCTGAGGCACTGATTTTACTACATTTTAATTGTTTTTTTATTTATGTATTTGGAAAGTTTGCACATTGTAAAAACCTCATGGTTTTATTCTACATGTTGGTTTTATCTCATGTTATATGCAGAAGTCAGTTCTTGACAAATTAAAACATGCTTTAAAAGGATTTTTGCACGATGTAAATGCAGATATTCATGCAAACCTGAAACTGCTACAGAGAAGATACAGCTGACACTTGGTTTGGGTCAAAAAAATGGACACAGACAATCTATAAATAATTAATTTTACTGATAAAAATGTAAGCAAAACTAAACTTAACAACATGTATGAATAAAGTATCAATTAATGCAACTGTGTCTTTATTCTGTTCAGGAATACTTACACAAATATTGTACTATCTTCACAAACACGCAAACTAAAATGTTATAGACGCAGTTAAATATGAACTTCAATGTAAATAAATATATATGGGTATTTTTTTTTTACATATACTGTAGATGTAAGTAAATAACCAAATATAGCAAGGTTTTTCATAAGTTCCCGGGTTTCTTCACTCTTCTCATAGGAAACATGAATGTTAAAATGTAAAGGTTTTAATTTTGAACTAGGCCAATCATTTAAGATTATTTATACTTTATTTATTTATTTTTTGCAGTAGCTAACTATAACCATGGGCGCCAGCGGCGCTTCTTACCTTGTATGCTTCTTGGCCTGTCTCTAGAAAAGGGACTGATCTCATCACAGCACCGACTTTTATACAAAGACTCAGACCCGCTGTCCATTTTTTTTTCCCTTCTCTTCAAGGTAGAAAGAAAGCCAATTGAACTCTGTCCGCTGGATGAAGGGATTAAGCTTCTTTCTCTTTCCTTGATAATAAAAAATACAATTAATCATTTTATATAGGTGGGTTTATTTCCTACCTGTAAATCTATTAATGATAGTTTGTGTTCTGCTGTGGGCGGTCCAGCCCTGCGCTGTTCAATCACCGCAGCAGAAAAACGTTGCACAGCAATTTGGCCAGGGAGAGTTTTCCCCTAAAGTAAATAGAAAGTGATAGCTGATGGCTCGCGCGTTAGTCTTCATTATCAGGCTGTTTGAGAAGATGCGCGTGCATGCTCTGATTTGACTAATAGTTTGAAACAGACTGTTTTAGTAGGACTGAACTTAATGGACATCAGGGGCGGCTCTAGGATCAGAGGTTTAGGGGTGCTGAGCCCCCAGCGAGCTGTCTTGCCAGAAAAGTTTAAGTTCACTGTTTTCTAAAAATATTTTTTAAAACTTGATCAGTTCTTTTTGCTAATAACTGACTCCATTGTTCACTAATGCATCGTATCTGAGACGTGAGCAAAAAACCTAACAAGCAAAGCAAAAAGCAGCATTTTTTTTAGAAGAATATTCCAACCAATTAAAGCTTTTAAATCAACTAATTTTAATGGAAACCTTTGAATCAGTTTATAGAAAATTTGTTTTATCTTTTGTGCCAAATTACTTCCATGATAAATGTAAAATAATCGACTGAATGAAATGTTTTTCTTCTCCAGTTTAACAGCTGCTGCTATTCTGTCTGGTTTTTGCTGACCTTTCACTTTGCACACACCTTGCTCCTCTGCTCCCCCTTGCTCCTCTGCTCCCCCTTGCTCCTCTGCTCCCCCTTGCTCCTCTCCCTCTTTAGACTGGCAATCAGAAAATGGATTCTAAGTTCAAATAACTAGAAACTAGAAATGATTTACTAATGTTTCAGTAAATGTTAATATTGAAATAGAGTTGTGGTTTTAAAGATAATCAAACAAACTAGTCTCAGACACATTAGAGCACCTCGCTGGTGAACATTTCACCACCAACACACCATCAATAGGTGCAGAAATCTGAGTGAACATTTCAGAAACACCTGAATGCAACGTTTTCCTCAACATTTTAGTTAAGGAGCTCCATCAGGCTTATTTACTTGTTTTTTTGTTTATTATTTCTGATGAACCAGAACATAATTGAAGGGGTTAAATAACCAAATAATCTATAGTTTTTACAATGTCACTTTTGGTGCATACAGTATTGACAACTCATATTTTAGGGGTGCTTTGATTCAAATTAGGGTTGCTTAAGCACCCCCAAAAATAGGCTAAAAACGCCTATGTTGGACATCATAGAGGCTGGAAGATACCTGATTGCTCTCAGTGGAATCACAATCCAAGTGTTGCTTTGAGCTTTTCTACCTAGATGCTACATCTGTTCTTTTATCATCTCCTGAGTCTTCTCCAATTTTGCCTTAAAGAACCTGAAACTATTGAACATCTCTTCTATTCATGTAGAGTCTCAGGTCACTTTTGGCAGAACCTATAAATCAATATTAACATACAATAATGACACTGCGAAGGATATATCTGACATGTTTGATATCATAAGTATGGGAAGATACCATAAACATGTACAGTACAGACCCAAAGTTTGGACACACATTCTTTTTCAAACAGTTTTCTTTATTTTTTATTGTGGAGAAGTCAGGTGGACACACAGCTGATAGCGCTACTGAACAGACTGCTATGGCAAGAAAAAAGCAGCAAAGTAAAGAAAAATGAGCGGCCATCATCACTTTAAGAAATGAAAGTCAGTCAGTGCGAAAAATTGACAAAACTTTGAAAGTGTCCCCAAGAGCAGTCGCAAAAAACATCAAGCGCTACAAAGAAACTGGCTGACATAAGGGAAAGGAAAGATCAACAGTCACCTCTGCTGGGGAGGACAAGTTCATCTGAGTCACCAGCCTCAGAAGTGGCAGGTTAACAGCAGCTCAGATTAGAGAGCAGGTCAATGAAACACAGAGTTCTAGCTGCAGAAACATCTCTAGAACAGTTAAGGGGAGACTGCGTGAATCAGGCCTTTATGGTAAAATAGCTGCTAGGAAACCACTGCTAAGGACAGGCAACAAGCAGAGAGACTAGCTTGGGCTAAAGAACACAAGGAATGGACATAAGACCGAAATCTGTGCTTTGGTCTGATGAGTCCAGATTTGAGATCTTTGGTTCCAACCATCGAGTCTTTGTGCGAAGCAGAAAAGGTGAACGGATGGACTCTACATGCCTCGTTCCCACCGCGAAGCATGGAGGAGGAGGTGTGATGGCGTGGGGGTGCTTTGTTGGTGACACTGTTAGGGATTTATTCCAAATTGAAGGCATAATGAACGGACACCACAGCATCTTGCAGCAGCATGCTATTCCATCCGGTTTGCGTTTAGTTGGACCATCATTTATTTTTCAACAGGACAATGACCCCAAACACACCTGCAGGCTGTTTGAGGGTGATAGGGTGCTGCGCCAGATGACCTGACCTCCACAATCACCGGACCTGAACCAAATCCAGATGGTTTAGGGTGAGCTGGACCACACAGGGAAGGCAAAAGGGCCAACAAGAGCTAAGCAAC